TAGAAGGCTTGTGTTTGCTTTGCAAGTTCGATGTCCAGTAAGTCGGATTGTGCAAAGGCCCTGGCAATATTCCTGACGGTGGCTTGGCTGGCTTTGATCCAAATACGATGGTTGTTGACGGTGCGGTATGGTTTAGCCAACTGTTCGAACATCGCGTCCACAAACTGGTTGAAGAGCTGCAAGATAGCCGGGGTCAATGATTGGCGTAGAGGAACAACATGATCGGGGCCAAGCTCGGTCAGGCATCGAACTCGATGGGGGTCATTGGCCGCCGCCACCATTTCATCGAGGTCGATGTCATTCGTGTCAAACTTGGTGAGCGAAATGGTATCAGCAACTTCAGAATTTTCACTGTCGCCGTCCGGAACTCGGAAGGACACCGCGCCGAGTGGTGCTGAAGTGTGGGTTGGTGGGTTGGTGGGTGGTTCCGATGGTGGTGGATCAGTAGGAGAATTGGGTCGAGCAGTGTGGTGGTCGTAGGCGTCGTTGTAGTGGCTTTCGTTCCATGTGCCCCAGGTGTCATCAGCATCAGGAGTAGGAATGTAGTTCGGATTGGATGGGTTTGCAGCAGGTCGAAGTATGACTTCACGGCCTCGGGATCGGTGACGTGGTGTCGCGGAGCGTGGGCGTGGATGGGAGCGGTGACGTCGAGGGACCACAGGAGAGCGGCGTCGTGGTGGTGAGCGTCGTCTGTATGGAGATGGTGTTCTGCGGCTCTTGTCGGGTTTCGTAGATGAGCGATGACGAGGGAGAGGAGAACGAGGTCGTTCTGTACGTGGAGGAGAATGGCGATGGCGATGAGAATGTACAGAAGGTCGATGGGAACGTGATCTTGGAGTTCGGGATCGTGGTCGGCGTGTTGGTGGTGGTGGACCTTGTGGTTGGTGAGGAGGAGCGATGGTTGGAGCTGGGACAACGCGATGGTCCTGAACGTCCGGTTCGGTGGGTCTGGCCTTTGGTGCAGGTGGAGGCGTGGCGATCAATGGTGGTGTAGGTGTAGGTGGTGGTATCTGTGGTGTAGGATTCGGTGGATGTTCATCTTGTTGAAGAAGGAGTTGACGTTGTTCTTGTGCCCGTTGAGAGTCCATGATTAATAGTTGCTGAGCTTGGATAAGTCGAACAGATTCGGCCAGTTGTTGTGCGGTGGAACCCAGGGATGCAAGTTCAGGTGGCACGGATGAAGTCGGTGCTGTCTTAGGTGTCGATGGTGTAGCGTGAGGAGGGGTTTTCGGAGCTGGTCTGCGCGGTCGATCCGGTCTTTTGTCAGAGCGATGCCTGGGAGTTGCTTTGACTGCTGGGGGCCGTGGTGAAGGCTCATTTGGAGGGATCGTCGATGCGTCCATCTGTAATGGAGGTTGAATGTGGTGAGGTGGGTATGGAGAACTGGGCAAAGGAGTCGGTGTCATAGTCGATGTAGGTGGTGTAGTCGATGTAGGGGATGGAGCCGAAGTGGAAGGCCACGCGGGTGGAGCGGAAGGTGTCAGAGGAGATGGAAAAGTCGACGGAGCGGTGTGTACCATAGTTGGTTCAGGAGCCAAAGGTGAAGGCATGGTGGGTACTAGTTGTGGACCTGGTACTGCATGAGGAGCCGAAGTCAATGAGGTGAACGGCAACGATGTTGGGGCGGATGTAGACGGCATGAGCGAAGCGGAGGATGACCATGTAGGATGCAAAGCCGAGGGATGTCCAAATAAATGTGCATTAGGTGTCGATTGCGGCCACGTCGAAGATGGGTTCGAAGGCTGTGGTGGAGCAGGCCATGATGTTGGAGTGTTCCACGGATGCATCGCTTCAGTAGGTCAAAACAAAGGTGGACAATTGTAAAAAGTTTCACATACAGGATTCAGTCCCTAACTGCCTACAAAATCGTGCGATTATTCCCTGCACCGGGACCGCGGTCAAGTCGTGCCGCAATGGCATAAAACAGCTTTCAAGTTCCAACGAATTAGATGCACAATATGTTTCACCTCACCAGAGAACCAAAAGGAAAGAATACCACACCTGAAAGTCGTGTGCCTGCCTGATCATAGGTCATGAGATAATGCAATATGACGCTGCAAAAGTTGCTGCAAAGACGGAGGTTTCTGGCAATTCAGAACGGCTGCACAGTTGAAGAAACGCATCGGCGAGGAATCCCTGGGACCGCAAGATCAGCGGGACAGACTCAAAAGGCTGGAAAAACAGTATGGCCGGCTGTTGCAGTTTACTTAGATGAATTACCAACTTAAAATTCGTAAATTCGGTAGTCCGGACAGTCATCACTCACCCTGAAAAGGGTTGCCTCAATTGGCTCCATGGCACCATGTCGGAGCCACCATGGAAATCACACTAGACAAGAATGGATCATTATATGATCCGGCAGGAACTGAATCCTGAAACATGCAAACCAGCCTAGATTATTTGATGAATAAAAGAGCCACATGAGGTACTTCTCGAAAACGATGTAGGGCATCCGAATTGTCAAACGTAGTCATAACCAGATTCCATAGAGTTTTGACCAGCATGTTGAAATCCAAAATAATGTTTCGGCGATTGTTTCCCAAAATAACCCATAGTTCGTCGGCGACAGGATCTCGGCGAAAATAAGTCAAAAAACATAATACTGTCGGCGAAATGGTTTCGGCGAAAATCTGAGGAAGGTTCTGATGCATGTAAATTTCAAAATTGATTCCAGATTGCGACAACAGTGCAGCAAATTGTATAATATTGTGGTTGGGGTTCTAAGCTTGGCCCCTTGCTATTTCGGAAAATTCGAGCTGCAGGTACGCATGGCTGATCAGGCCATGTATCACCAGGGAAGCCAGAGTGTCTTCGTTGGTGGTAGACTCTGGACCCTGCTACCACCCCCTGCAAATTAGTGAAAACCAATCAGAAGTTTTACATCTGTTCAGATGATACACACACACACACACCAACAACACACAATAATTTAACATACAATAACATTTCCACACACACACACACCACAATGACAAGTCGTCAGTGCATCGTCAGTGAAGTTTTGGCACTTTGCGTGGCAGGCGTGACACAAACTCACACCTACTGTCGTTTTGCGTGGCAGGCGTGGCACAAACTCACATCCACCGTCGTTTTGCGTGGCAGGCGTGGTACAGATGGCACTGGGTGGCGCGCGTGGCGCGCTTGGACTGGCTTGGGCGCCCGTGACGCCGCGCCACTTTGCGTGGCAGGCGTGCCACAACCTGACATCCACCTTCGTTTCACGTGGCAGGCGTGGCACAAACTCACATCCACCGTCGTTTTGCGTGGCAGGTGTAACACTCATGGCACTGGGTGGCGCGCTTGGACTGGCTTGGGCGCCCGTGACGCCGCGGCACTTTGCGTGGCAGGCGTGGCACAAACTCACACTGACTGTCGTTTTGCGTGGCAGGCGTGGCACAAACTCACATCCACCGTCGTTTTGCGTGCCAGGCGTGGTACAGATGGCATTGGGTGGCGCGCTTGGACTGGCTTGGGCGCCCGTGACGCCGCGCCACTTTGCGTGGCAGGCGTGGCACAACCTGACATCCACCTTCGTTTCACGTGGCACGCGTGGGACAAACTCACATCCACCGTCGTTTTGCGTGGCAGGCGTGGCACTCATGGCACCGGGTGGCGTGCTTGGACTGGCTTGGGCGCCTGTGACGCCGCGGCACTTTGCGTGTCTACCGTCGTTTTGCGTGGCAGGCGTGGCACTTATGGTACTGGGTGGCGCCCTTGGGCCGGGATTTGGCGCCGGGGCGCCGCGCCACTTTGCGTGGCAGGCGTGGCACAACCTGACATCCCCCTTCGTTTCACGTGGCAGGCGTGGCACAATCTCACATCTACCGTCGTTTTGCGTGGCAGGCGTGGCACTTATGGTACTGGGTGGCGCCCTTGGGCCGGGATTTGGCGCCGGGGCGCCGCGCCACTTTGCGTGGCACAACCTGACATCCACCTTCGCTTCACGTGGCAGGTGTGGCACGATCTCACATCTACCGTCGTTTTGCGTGGCAGGCGTGGCACTTATGGTACTGGGTGGCGCCCTTGGGCCGGGATTTGGCGCCGGGGCGCCGCGCCACTTTGCGTGGCAGGCGTGGCACAACCAGCATCCACCTTCGTTTCACGTGGCAGGCGTGGCACGATCTCACATCTACCGTCGTTTTGCGTGGCAGGCGTGGCACTTATGGTACTGGGTGGCGCCCTTGGGCCGGGATTTGGCGCCGGGGCGCCGCGCCACTTTGCGTGGCAGGCGTGGCACAACCTGACATCCACCTTCGTTTCACGTGGCAGGCGTGGCACAAACTCACATCTACCGTCGTTTTGCGTGGCAGGCGTGCCACTTATGGTACTGGGTGGCGCCCTTGGGCCGGGATTTGGCGCCGAGGCGCCGCGCCACTTTGCGTGGCAGGCGTGGCACAACCTGACAGCCACTTTCGTTTCACGTGGCAGTCGTGGCACAAACTCACATCTACCGTCGTTTTGCGTGGCAGGCGTGGCACTTATGGTACTGGGTGGCGCCCTTGGGCCGGGATTTGGCGCCGGGGCGCCGCGCCACTTTGCGTGGCAGGCGTGGCACAACCTGACATCCACCTTCGCTTCACGTGGCAGGCGTGGCACGACCTCACATCTACCGTCGTTTTGCGTGGCAGGTTGTGGCACGTAAGTATACTCGACGTCGCGGCTGCATTACCACTTGAATCTGAAAGGACCTTTGGGACTACAGGTCATTGTGCAGAAGCTGGATGAAGGTCCGTGGCAGGGAATTCTGGCCGTGCATCCGCTAGTGCCGCTCTCTGCTTTGGATCGGGTCCGAGATCGGCAGCAAATTTGTGTTTCGGTGACAATTGTGGAGAATCCAGGGTCGGTGGAACGTCAGACGAAAGAAGGTGCTGCGTTGGTGTGCAATGCTATTGTGCAGCAAGGAGCAACGCGAGTGAGATGTTCTTTACTGTTCTTTTTGGCATGAGCAAGCCGAAGAATTGGCAGCGCAGCCAGCTGGAACGAGTCTGATGCTCTACCAGGTTTTGATCACCAAGCACAAGGATGAAAGATCGTGGGAGATCGGCAGCTGGCGTGGCACTTCTCTTGTGCCATGCAGTGCAGAGATGGCGACGGCGATGTCTCTTGCTGTATGATGTTTCCTTTGGCTGTTGCGTTTCTTTTACCTTTTGCTCAACAAACCTTGCTGCAGGCAGGCAGAGCTAGCTCACCAAGACAATTGCCGAATGTTGACGGAAATTCCTGTGAAGGATTGGATTGGCTGCCCTGCCACGGCCTCATCCTTGAGCGCTCTCGTGGGAGCGATCGTGCCTGGACAACTGCGAAAGTTGGAGACGGTCTTTGAGGTTGTCGGTTTGCAAGTTTTGGGCATTTCGTCTGTGAAGACGGAAACGGATGTATGGCTCATCGATTCGTGTGCGAAGTGCAAGAAGGCAGCACCGTGCGAGGCGTGGACTCGAGCCGTTCTTGTGCGATCTTCTCTTTTTGTGTTTGATATCTGTTTGTAATAAAGAACCTTACTTAGATCAGCTGTGTGGGTGCTAGTGGGTTGCAGACGTTAGCACCTTTACATAACTAAATAATAAACAATTCCTAACTCATTGATAAGTGGTTATAACTAGTTATATTTGGCGTAAAACTTTCAACTAGTTACATCACTTATGTTATTTTTACCTAATTGCTTTAAAGTTCTTAAAAAAATATTCTTGTTAGCTAATGTTTATTAACAATTTTATCACAATTAGCTAAACTTTATGACCTTTAGTTTTTCACATTATGAACTCTTAGGGGAGCTTTAGAAGAACAAAAAACAGTTGCCGCGGATGTTAACATGCATACCTGCAAGGTTTTTGGAAGAAGAAAAAAACGATGTTGAGACATGTTGAGACCCAAACACAGATCAGCATAAAGCTAACATTCATAGCCGTTTGTTTTTTAAAGACAAAAAATGCGCGCTTGTTAGAAAAATCTATCAGCATAGTCTTGGTATTCCTTCCCGTTTATTTTCTTGACAAGCCTCTGGAAGCTTTGTTTGGTAGCCTAGGCAAGCTCATGTTGGTAGGTACTGTCAAAAGTTTCCAAATCTAAAACTTGTAAGCCCATGGTGGGCCATCAGCCTGTGCAGGGTCATGTTTAAGCCTTTGCAGGCTCATGTTCATCTGTTGCGTAGTGACATGCTTGTAAGCCTGAAGCAAGGTCATGTGTTGTTCTTCATTCTGAACTTCAGCCTTTGAAGGCTCATGCATGTTAGCTTGCTGTCTTTTGTTTGAACTATTTTCTCAAGGAGTTGCAGCCCAGAAATCACCACAGAACAAACGCGTCCCTTTCTCTTGCAACAAGAGCAGGCAATGTGTCACTTCTTGGAGCTTTGAAAATTTCTTTAATCCAGCCAGCACGGTAGCATGGACCCTAAAGTGGCGAAGTTGGTGCTTGCTGCCAAGAAAGATGAACAGTTGGAACTGAATGTCAAAGTAAACAGAATCATGACGATTCTGAAGGAACATGGTTTGCTCTATGAAGCCCAGCTGAATTGCAATGACATTCTGATACACCCGCAGAACCGGGCTGGAAAAATGTGCTTGCCAGCCGAAGTGCATGCCAAAGGTTGCAAGATGCTGAAAACAGGGGCAGACCCCAGCAGATTAGATGGCATTTGCTTTGAAGTCGCTGCAACAGCAGCCACCAGGTCTCAGCAGTTCCAAGCCAACCAAGATTTGCAGGAGCAAAGCGGTGGCAAGCTAGCCAAGGTTCGCTTCACTGAAAGGTATTTGTCCGTGTCTGGAAGCCACACTGTCTCGTTTGTCAAGAGTGTGGCACAGGGATGTGCGACCGATGATCCTGGTTTGCTGGATATGTGCCCAAATGGCCAGCTTTCGCTTGAAGCTCTGTTGAGTGGCAGCAGTGTGCCACTCGATGAGCACCCATTCACACAGATGGTGAAAATTGGGTGGACTTGGAAAATCATCAGGCAGGAGGTGGAGCAAGAATTTAGTGATCTTCCTGCATTGATACAACAAGCCCAACATTCTTCGCATGCCTTGGCTAGCCACGTGAACGAAATTGAGGCTGCCATGCAGGTCGCTTTTTGGTTCAACCAATGCAATGACATGGCAGAAGCAGTCAAATTGACTGTGGCGTCTCAACCTGCTTGCTCTCACTACATGGAAACTATTGGGTTCTATGTGAGATTGTACGGTGGAGGTGAAGATTTCCCTGTCATGAAAGTGTTGGATGGCATTTCGAAGCTCTATGGCAGCAATGCTTGCATTGGCGAGGAGTTCATGGACCATGTGACATTTCTGGATTTCAAAGATCCAGACACAACATTCGTTTGGCTGAGAGCCGGGTGTTTGGCAGCAAACTGCACCAGCCCCAGGTCAGTGGATTCGATATCCAAGTTCTTGGTGAAGAGCGACTTGGACAAATTGAAGCATGCGAAAATCAGAGCAGATGTGAAAAAGGGTGAAGACTTGTGTTCTTTGGCATGGGAGACCTTGTGCCAAGGGCATTTGCAGACAGACAAGAAAGGCATCACTCTGATGGGCAGGCTGCTGGTGAGAGTAGTTCTGGTCCTGACGAACAAATCAGGCAAGGGTCGCGAGCAGAAGGTTTACAATAACCTGCAAGAAGTCAATGACACCTTCGTTGAAGAATTGTCGTCTTTGCAGAACCCGAACAGAGCACCGAACCCAGCTCAACCTGCTCAAGCTGTACCTGCCACTACCCAAGCTGGAGCTGTTGTCTCTTTGAAGGTTCGAGACAAGAGAAGCGTACATGTTCTTAGCCTCTGCAGGCTCATGCTTGGCATGGTTGTTAGCCTGTGCAGGCTTCTGTTTGGGCATGGCATGTTTCAGCCTTTGCAGGCTCATTCTGGGCATAGCAGGCTCTCGCCTTTGCAGGCTCAATCTTGGACTGACAACTTCTCAGCCTCTGCAGGCTCATGTTTGGCATTGCATGTTGCCAAGTTTGGAAAGCTTTTCTGGCAGCCTTCAGTCTTTGCGAGCTCACGTTTGCCAGGGCATGTTTTTTTTTGGATGTGAGTTTGTTGGGAGCAGGACGCAGCAAGTGCATCTCACATCGCGCTGGAAAGCCACAAGCACTTGGCAATTGGAAAGCTCTATGTGCACAAGGATGACCACCGCAAGATCTGGAAGTTTGTCGCCATTGATTCCCGAGCAGGAAAATTTACTCACCAGCCTTTGTTTGGATCTCTTGAAGAAGCAGTTGTGAAGCTATCAGATTTGAAAGATTGGAAGGTGTGTACCCTGAACGAGCCTGAGCTTGTAGACGATGGAAAACTGGAGAACATGCTGCCTTTGAAATCCCAACAGCTTGATGTCTTGCTTGCGAAGGCTCAATGCCAGGTGGGAGTGTATGAATTCTACGAGAAGCAGGGTGAACCAGATGTCACCATCTCGAACACAGGCAGTTTGTATGCCAGGAAGACCATGAAGAAAGGAAGCTTGAAGTTGGCGCCATTTGGCTCCGTGCAAATTTGTGACATGTCCAAAACAGCCAAAAATGCTTGTGTGCTGCAAGTGCAAGGAAGGACGGAGACGTTTGTAGTGGCACCACCAAAAGCTGACTTCAAGAAAGGCAGTGGGTCCTTTGTGCCTTTTCATCTCCTGAAACATGCTGATGATGGCAACGAGGCTGCTGGAAACATGGAAAAGGTGCAAGTGAAACATGAAAAGATGACAATCCCTGTGTACAAGAACAAGCGGCAGATTGACGAAGGAACCGAGCTGCTCTGGGAGCCTTTGCCAGCAGCTCGCAAGAAGTCTTAAGGTCAAAAAGTGAGATTTGGCGATGGGCTAGCAAAAAAAGCAGAGACTTAAGACAGTAAGCCTCTTCACATATCAGCCTCACAGGCTCACATCTGCTTTAACCCTTTGGAGGCTCATGCAAGACACTTTTGCTCAGCCTCTGCAGGCTCATGCAGGACATTTTTGCTCAGCCTGTGAAGGCTCATATATATATATATATATGTTTTGCCTCATTTGTTGTTAGCCTCCGCAGGCTCATGCAAAGCATGCTTTCTAAGCCTCTGCAGGCTCATACATATATCCATCGAGGCATTCTTCTCAGTCTACGCTTATGCAAGATACTTTCTAAGCCTCTGCCGGCTCATACAGACATTTTCAATGGCATTCGTTTTCAGCCTTCGCAGCTCATACAACATGTTTTCTTCATTTCTCTGACCGTCTTTTCTTTCCTTCTGAAAGCAGGCTCAAACTTTCTGTTCCCCTAATTTTGACATGGCTGGCTCTGTGACTATTGACCGCCAGGTGACCATACAGTTCGACAATGGCAAGAAGCAAGCAATCCCGAAAAGTCTGCTGGAAGAGTCCTTGGGCAAGACGTGGTTGAGGCTGAGGCCCACTTCGAGAGAAATATGCAATTTACTTTGTGGTTCCATGTGCAAGCTTGGCAAGAACCCTACTTTTGTTGGCAGTGAGAAATTGAAAGACTTGAAAGCCAAGAGACAAGCGGCTTTGAAAGCTCATGGCCATGGTGAATTGGAAGCACAAGAGTCTATGTTTGACGAAGAGAAGGAAGTGGAACAGCCAAAGAAAAAAATGAGGCTGGACGCTGCAGCCATCACAACTGACGTCCATGGCACCGAGGTGCATGTCTTGGCTGCAGCTAAGAGAGCCACCTTGAGTGATTTGCAGATCGAGTTGGATCCAAACCAACTATCTGCAGTGCTTTTGTTCTTGAAGCCTGACTGTACGAAAATTTTCAATGAGATTCCAAAGTCAGAAGCTGCCAATGTGGAGCACGAAGACTGAGAGCTTGGGGGAATGGACAAAATGTTTTCTTGTACCAGCGGCTAAGCGTAAGCCTAGGAAGGCTCATGTCTAGCATGGTCTTATCAGCCTTGCAGGCTCATGTGTGGGATCAGCCTTGCAGGCTCATGTTCTTTATATAAGCTTTTTCAGGCTCATGCAAGATATGCTGTCTCAGTCTGTGCAAGCTCATGCAAACATGTCCTTTTGCATTTGGTTGTCAGCCTTGGCAGGCTCATGCAAGACATGTTTTCAAAGCTCGTGCAAACTCGTACGCTGCAAACATATTTTCAGCTGCCTTTGGTTTCAGCCTTTGCAGGCTCATGCAAGACATGCTTTGTAAGCCTCTACCTTCCCAGAGTAATGATCTTGCTTCCAAGCCCATCTACTTTTGCACAGGGTGTGGCCCAAGCTCGGTGAAGCCATCACAATGAAAAGAGCGTTGGACTGGGTCTCCAAGGGAAAAGCCGGTAAGTACCCTAGGAGGATTGGGGATGGAAGAGGCTCTACCACTTCTGTCGAGGCAGGGCAGTTCAAAGTTGAAAGACCCATCACCCACTAGTGACTATTGATCATCCCTGCAGGCACCAAGCTGCACTGTAGATGGTGCAGATGACGTTGGTACCTTCACTCAGATGCTGTCCCCCGACCCCGTCGAATCAGGTTTATCCGATAAACCTGAAAATGCAGCTGCCACAGAAGGTGCAGAAGGAGCAGAGCCAGAGTGGTGTGGGTACGATAACTGGTGGCCTGACCCTTACCATGAAGAGCCAGCTGCCGCTGGTATTGTCCGAGCCACTGCTGAGGAGGAAGCATACTGGGAGAATCAGAATGCAGAGGATTGCCAAGCAGCCATGGAAGCTGGCTACATCTGCAAGGAAGAGGCGTCAGAGGAATTGCCAGATAAGAGCTTGCCCCATGTCGCTTCTGCAGAGTGGACCTCGTGGTCGGAGGACTCCTGGGATAAGAGCTGGCAACATGGTGCTTCTGAAAATCACCGGAGACAGTCTGGTGCCAGGCTGCTACTGGCTCTTGGCAGGTGAATCCTCCTCCAGCTCCTGTGGTGCAGTCTGAATGCGAGAAAAAGATCATGCCACCAAAGATGAATCCGTCGGGATGGTTCCACAAGATGGTCCCCTTGCTGGGAGCCTTGATGAGTGGAAATATGGAGCACGCCATGGAGCTTTGCCAGAACTACTACTTGCACTCTAAAGACATGACGGAGCAAGTGGATAAGCACCTGGAGAACTTGTTGAGCCATGGCAAGGACAATAAGTATGATGGCAAGGCTTCCATCTACCCTGGCGGTAACAAGCATTGACCAGCAGCCCAGCAGCGGCCCAGAAAAAATAAAAGCGTCCTTCAAGTAAAACTAGCCTTTGCAGGCTCATGCTTGTGCTGTCATGTCAGCCTTTACAGGCTCATGCATGTTCGACCAGCCTCAGTAGGCTCACACTTTGCTTTGCCTGTTGAACTTCCCTGGCATGCACGTCAGTTTTTGCAAGCTCATGCATGTTCGATCAGCCTCAATAGGCTCACACATGGCCTTTCCTATCTAATGTTGTTAGCCTTGGTAGGCTCAATTCCTTCAGCTTTTCTTGAAGCAATGTGCAACGATAGCTGGCATCGAATAAGAATTTTCGATTCAAACGTCTGAATTAAAAATGCTTACTTAAATTTTTGGATTCAGATTTCTGAGTCCAAATTGCTTGATTAAAAATTTGGATTCAGATATCTGAATCCAAAATGCTTATTTCAAAATTTCAATTCAGATATCTGAATCGAAAATGCTTATTGCAAAATTTCGATTCAGATATCTGAATCCAAATTGGTTGGTTAAAATTTTGGATTCAGATATCTGAATCCGAAATTTATATATATATATATATATTATTTTTTTCTGTAAGCTCATGATTCATATTTGTAACGGTTTCGATAATGATGTTGCCATCTGTTTTTAATTTTCAGTGGCATCTTTCCCTAGCATTCTTTCTTTACAAACCCAAACTTGCTACGTCTCCTGCTGTCAGTTCAGCTGGCCCAGCTTTTGACAGCAGCATCGGCACTGCTGTCTGCAATTCCCCTGCATCTGTGCCTTCATCGCCATGGATGTGAATCCATTGTGTTTTAGTGATGGCCTCATTTTGGACGGAGACCAAAATGCTATTGTCGTGGTCTATGATCATGGACAGCCTACGACGTATGCCTTGGAATGCCCACGTTGGATCAAATACCTCAAGGACAGGGGATTGTTGGATGCCCATTCCATCAACATGCCTTCCGTCCAGGATGCCTCCATGTCAGACACAAGCCTTCTTGAAGAACAAGAACAATGTGAGGAAGGTGTGGCCAGCTCGTCTTCAAGGAAGAGGAAAGAATGTGAGCCAGGTTTGGAAGAAAATTAAGCTTTCGTATTTGCGCAACAAGGCATGAGTGGATTTCCTTCATCCGTTCGCAGAAACAAACATGGCGGCCAACTAGAGCAGTTTAGCCTTTGGAGGCTCATCTTGGCATGGTAGACTTCAGACTTACAAGGTTCCTGTTTGGCATGATACGCGTCAGCCTTCGCAGGCTCATGTTCTTTTCTCCATAATTCAGCTAAAGTCAGCCTTCAGAGGCTCATCATCTATTGAGCGTACTTAAGCCTTAGCAGGCTCATTCATACCATGTGCGTCGGCCTTTGTACGCTCATGTTCCGCTGATTTGAACCTTTCCAGCCTGTTCGTTGGCACGACTCGCTTCAGCCTTTTCAGGCTCATGTTCTCATGAGGGCATTCAATCTTTGCAGGCTGCTGTTTCACGACGCGCAAATGCTGGCCTATGCAGGCTCATGGTTTGTTTCCTTGCTTGGCTCGCTCTTTGCACACAACGAATTGCTATCTCCACTCTCCACTTGGCAATTTGCATTAGCCATTTTGGCACCAGTTTTCAGCCCTCCAGAAGCGACAGCACGACCCTTGCCAGCATGTGGTCTTTGAGTGACTTCCAGTTGGAAGTCAACGCTACCAGTACTTTGTTGAAGGCAAGACCTGGTGAACCGCAGCTTCTGGAAGGTTTGGGGGCGAGCCTCAAGCACAAGCTCGAGCATATGAGTTTGTCTACAGCTGATGTGGTTGCTTGCTATGACCTTGTCAAGGCATGTGACTTGCCACAATGCCTGCAAACGAGCCTCCAGTCCGTTTTGGACACAAAAGCTTTGGGATCTGCGCAGTCAGCCTTGACAGTGACAACTCAGGCTCAGCAGTTTGACAGCATCCCCGCCTACTTGACACAATCAGAAATCACCAAGCTGGAAAATTGCAATCCTTTTGAAGGAGCATGTGTTCTCGCCTCCAGGTGCAAGCTGGTAGGGGTCAAAAGCTTGAAAGAAAGCACGAAGAAGGTCACGACCGCCTTGCTGATATGCTTTGACATGCAGAGGGGAGGCAGAAGACCCGAAGGAGACTGCTTCTACAGACTCTCTCAGCATGTGCGCACTACGTTTGCGAACTCTGCGACACCCAATCCTCCGGAGTGTCTCCCTCTGAAGGTGTACCCCGCGGATCCAGCAGGCCTGGGTCCCAAACATTTTCAAGCAGCTTACCCAGAAGAGAAGCCAGTGGGGTGTCAATTTGTGGGCCTGGCGACTGTCATGAAGGACAATCACGTGCGAAGTACCGGTTTGTCTCTCAGAGGCACCCCTTCTGCTGGCACAAAGAAGATGGAAGTTGTAAGTATGGGACCCCAGGAAGGAGTTCTGCAGCAGCCGACTGGAAACCTCAAGGCTTTGCTGGCAAATTTCATCAACAGAAGCAATTCGATACTTGCTGGGACTTTGGATACAGTCTTGCACATGCATCCGCAGAGCCATCTCTTTTCCAAGCAGGGAAGTGTTGACGCTTTGTCTTGCAGCAGTGGCGAGCAGCGTGGTGAAAGGATGGCTTTGGATAATGGAGCCCACTTGACTATGACCACGCCAACAGCACACACTGCTGTGGCACCTGTCACGAAAGCAAGTG